TGTGTCGAGCTGTTATAGAAAATTATCTGAAACTGATTTGATATATATTCAAATAGGCGCTGTGCGACACATGTTGCTGCTGTTACATGCAACATTTGCCGTATTTGTTGCACGCAGCAGCAGCAGCAGTAGCAGCAACAACAGCAGCAGAGAGCTCCTGGAGGAGTCGAAGCAACCGACTGGTAGCCAGGTTAGACTTGTCGTTGTTATTTGTATGAAATGCAGCGGATAACATCGCCAGCAGTAAACGTTTAGTTTGTGTTTTAATTAAAATATTTTCATTTCCCCTGCGCCAGCGACAGGCGAAGATTGCCGCTGAGAAACACGCTGCGACTGGATCAAGATCCAGGCACATCCGCGTCTTGCTGGACAAGTGGCATTTATAAGCAGCAATATAAACTAATTTAGGTGGGGAATTGTTTGGCTAATAGACCTGGGAAACGTTTGAGAGAAAGTCTGAGTGGTAGTACATCAGGAAAATAATATTATAGGTAATTAGTGTATATGGTTAAAAATTAAATTTATAAAGCATAGAGTCTCTTACGTATTTCATCAATATTTGCTTACCTTTTGCCTAATAAAAAACAAAAAATACGTTTTGAATGTCAAAACAGTAGGAGTTAATCCCCCTGGCAATTTAACCCCTCTTAGGCGGACATTAATTGATTTACCAAACCCCCAAAAGCCACCTCGAGAAGAAAGAGGAACCAAAAGGTAGTGAAAAATCACCCATCTGCGGCAGAACCACGCTTTATAAATGTCAGAGGCGACATTAATGTAGCGCATTTGTCTAATTAGACAAGCGTTTTGAGCATGATGCTCCGCTCCCGCTCTCGCTCCACACCAAATAAATTAATCAGCTAATTGATGAGCATAAATTACGGGCATGGGGCATGCAAATGAGACGGGATCGCGGCTCAGCTCTGGGCTTATTGATGGCCAGGCCAAATTAAATTGGGCAAATGAGCGGAGCCGGGCAATTTAGTATGTCAATGGCCGATGCTAAAGGGCCACCCACTGGGCAGCAGATGAAAACCAGATCAGTAGAACTCTGGCCAAATCGAAGCTGGCCAGGTGCAACGTACAACTCAATTAATAACAATTTCTCAGAACAATAAGCCAGGCGACGGCCACAAAGGTGAGTGCAATCCTTTTTGGCCAACATTTGATTATCTCACGGCCAGAGTGGCTCCTCCTGCTGGAGTAAAAAGCTGAAGTTGAAGTTGGGGCCAAAGTTTTTGGATCTTGCTATCGGGTGCTGCCATCGGGGCGGTCGCGGTGTTGCGGAATTAGCCACTCGGGGCCTGAACTTTGGCGGTGCACGAGGTCGTGGCCAAATTGCCAGGCCATGCTCGGCACCGGAATGTTTGTTGGCTTTTTGCTTTTTGTTTTAATTGAAACCCGTACGAAATGGAAAATGGACTTTCAACTTGCCAGTTTGCTAAATTAGCCACACAGCAAGAAAGCTCAATGATAAACTTTTATAATAATGTTTTAAATGGTTTTATGGGCTTAAATTAATAATAAAATTTAATGCTTGAACTTTTGTATAAGTAAACCTTTTTAGATCTGTAACAGATTACTTTAGCTTTAATAGGCAATTTAATTGCATTTTAAAAAATCTTTTAAGAATATAGTTTTCCAGAGAAAGTATTAGACAAACTGTAACATAAGCCGCATGTTTAGTTTGATGTTTGTCAAAGCAAGTCCTTGCCAACATCGTTCAGCAATCTAAATAAACTTACACCAAATTCTTTTAATGATAAAATCATATCATTTGTTCAGGTGCAACTAGCTGTGGCAGACTATTTTCAATTTTGAGACCTCGGTGCATTGCAGGGCAGTCGGAAATTTATGGCGAGCCTGCCAGTGTCGAAAATAGCGCCAGAAACTCTGAGACTGCGACTGCGACTGCGACAGCGACAGGCGAGCGATGACGACGAAGACGATGCGAGCCCAATGTTGATAGCTATAGCTTTTCGCCGGCTGGAGTTACTTTCTAATGCTACAGACAGCAGAGTGGCGATGTGGACGTGAATGTGGATGAGGATGCATTGCACACGAAAGTCATAAGCGCAGCCGAGGCAATTAAGTTCGAGCGACAAGTTGCGCCGCTGGAAGCCAGGAAACTCGGCTAGGATCGGGTGGGATCGGTGGGATAGGTGGAAGCTGGAAGGGGGTGTGCAGCTGTTACATGTTTATGGCTCGAAACGGATCGCACGTAATGGGATTTGCGCTGAGCGACAGCGATAGCCTGTGACTGCACCAGCACCGGCAACCAGTCAAATCCACATCCACATTCACATCCACCGATTCAGATCCAGAGCCAGAGCCAGTGCCAAAGCTATATGGGTAGAGCTATGGCCACAAGTGCTGCCTCGACTACAGCGCCTCAATAAAGCCGATCGCATTACCAATTAGGCGTGCACACTCGGCTAAACAGCCGCCTCCTTCTGGCAAGTGGAAATTGAATTAGTTGTCGCTGCATATGCGTGACTATGTAGCTGCTGTCCGGGGCTCCATGTTCAGCTCTGCGGATGCACAGAGAACAAATTTACATAACATTTGCTGCTTCATTGATGCTTTCACAAAGTGCAATTGTTTATAACTAAGTTGTTCTCCCTTTTTAGTTTGACGTTAAGAAATATGATTTTTATGCCTATATAACTTAGATATGTTAAACTTAATTTGGTCATTTTAAACAATTTTTTATCTTATTTAAACTCTAATCCAATCTTATGATTTTTTACAAAATATTTTGGTATTTAAAAAAACTTGTTTTATATAAGAATGTGCTACGCATTTTCTTCGTGTGTAATCAAAAGCCCCTGAGCTAGAGAGCGGCAGTCTGGTTTGGGTGTCGCCGTTCGTATGTGTAAACACTTTTTACACTTTGCCACATTCCTGCGCCGCGCGCATAAATCAGGCAGTGCTCGCCTGTCAATCTGGAACTGCGCCATCGATAGCATCGTGGTCTTTGTGGAGTGGAGCTGACCGGAGGAGCTTTTAGCAAGTGCTTAACAGCTGGCTGGGTGTGTGCTAGTTGTGACTTCGTTTTCTGTGCCAATGCGAGCTATGACAAGTGTTCCCGGATCCTGTTTTCCCTTCAAACTGCTGCCGCTCCTTTTTCTTGGGTCATTCGAAAATTTACTAGTATTATTATATTTATATTACTGATTCTTATTTGACTGAAACACCTAACGCAAATTTTACAGCATTAATCTTTAATTAATATTTAAATGATTTAGTAATTTTCGTTCATCTTTAACAAAAAGATAACAATTAAGGCATTATACAATAATGACTTTTTGGCTAACAATAATGAAGGTAGAACAATATAAGCTCTGAATAAATCATAACGAGCAACTAATCCAAAAATATTTGTAATTACTTTATAAAATCGGCAGAAAGTAAAAGTGAACCTGATAATTTATCGAACCATTTCAGCTTCAGTCGGACTCCATGATTAGTCTGCTAAATCTCCACGACTTGCCCAGGTAACGAGCAGAGCTGCCCGAAAACCAGATGCGCTCATTGATCAGGTGCGAATGCAGATCCCCCAAGGCGGGCTCCACATGGAACCGCTCCTTGATGCAGCGATGCGTGAGCACATTGGTGACGACCCACTGTCGGGATGGGATTATGAAAGCAAAAGGAAATGGATCAGTCTCAAAAACTCACGGCCAATTCGTGTTGACGTTGCAGTCTTCTCATGCTTTCGTGCAGTTCCAGGAGAAGCTCGTAACGCCGAGCGCCATCTTCCAGCATTCGCAGGGAAAATGCCAGGGAGTCGATTACAATCAGTTTTATCTAAAGGGACAGTTGGGTTTTTTAAACTTTTCAATACAGATTAAATGAACATGTTTATATAAGAAGATAAAAGACTTTCAGACTAAAAACAAAACCGTAATAAGGTATTCAAAAAGAATTACATCAGGATGATCTACAAGGTGACTATGACAACTCAAGACCGTGGCCATTAACTGCACCAAATTAGGACACCTCACATAGTGAACTTTTTTAAGCATTTCCAAGGCTTTAAACTCCGGTGCTCTGTGTTTATATTGCTGCTCCAGTTCCTGAGCTAAGCCTATAAAAAAACCTCTATATATATGACAGTAAATCAGTTTATCCCATCAGTTCACCTAGTAATCTGTCTGGATGGAAATCCTGTCTTGAGTCTATGAACAATGCACGTCCTTCTAGGCCGCCGGCATCTTTGGGTATTTGCACATTAAGGCACAGTTGTAAACTATAGATAAATATGTATATTATTAAGTCTGTGTACATTTGTTAGTAAACCACAAACTCACCACATTGTCGTTTTGCCTGTGCCCGAATTGCCAATCAATTCAATGATTTGACCCAAGGATATTCCACCTCCGAAATGATTGTCCAAGGCTTTGTTCCCCGTCAGAATTTTATTTGAGTTCTTTTGTGAGATGTCCCAGCAGGAGTTATTAAATAAATTTAGGTTTTCGGTGGACACAGAAACACTTTCCATAGCCTTTGTCGCCGGTATCTGCAACTTTGGAGGTTCCACTGGGTTTCTAGAGACTATTAGATTACTCGCAGCCTAAGCAAATTGTTTCTTAAAAGGTATTAGTTTATTCGGCAAGTTTATTCAATGGAAAACACCTCTAAAAACAAAACTTCTGAGAAAATAATCAAAACAACCGCGCCATATGATTTAACAGTAATGTTTAATTAACATGCAATGTTAGTTACTTTAACATGTTCTTTAGCTGTCAAAAGCTAATTGCTATAAATACAACTTATCGATAAAGATAAATACCGAAAGTCGAATTCGTCAAAAACGATTTTTAGTTTATAAGAAACTTGTTTGCAATTTTTCAAAGTTGACAGTATTATTAATAAATGTTTATCTAGTTTAACGATCACATTTTCAATTTAAATTTAATATAAACCGTATATAGTTGGTATATATTTCATACTCTCTTTTTATGGCGACCTGCTTTTGTCACACTGCAATCAGATGTTGTTTTGTTTACAATCACCTGCACTTTATTTCCTGCAACGCGAATTTATTGGACTTTAGTCACCAATAATGATGAACTTAAAGCAATTGGCCTCCCACGCCTACCGCCAGTACGAACTGGTGACGTGCATCAACATGCTGGAGCCCTGGGAAAAGAAGCTGATCAGTGAGTACCGAAGTTCCAAGCCAAAGCAGTTCGCTAATCCGGACTATCTTGCCCAACAGACGGATTCTTCCTGATCATGCTTTGCCTGGTAATCTTCTCCAGCTTCATGTATCTGCCGGACTATCTGCAAACCCTGCTGCAGTTCGTCACGCCGCCCACCTGGTACAATAGTTCCCCGGAAAGTGCGGCCTATGTGGCGCAGAAAATGGCACGGAGCTGAGCTTCCAGCCACAAGCCCCTTGCCCACGCATGCTCCCTATCAAAAGACAACTATAATTTAATGCTTCTGATTGATTATTGTGATTTACTTCGACTGGTCCAAGATCTGTAAATACTTCGCCGTGCCAAGCAAAATTCGTTTAACCCACTTCACCATGGTTTTTCTATGTCGCAGGCAGATTACAATGGCCTCCACAATTCGCAAGGCGGATGTGTTAAAGAACAGGCCAACCAGACCTCCAAGGGAAACTAAATGGAAGAACTCGAGGTTAAAGGTCATAGTTATCTATGCTGATTTTGTGGGGTACTCAAAAAATCCAGAATAGTTTTGGTCACCCGACGTACGTAGCGCTGGGTGGGCAGCTCCACAAGAGCCACTCGGATTTTTGAGACGTCATCCGAGGCTTCATCATCCCTAGAAGCAGGCAAAATAAAAAATGTTTATTCACGTCACTCATTTACTTAGAGCTATATGGCCAAAAGGTTTACTTAGGCTTTCTTGGCTAATATTAAAAATTTTAGATTTCAACCTGATTTGAAAAATTACAAATAAAATAAATAGGTCTTTTTAAGTGCTAAGAAATAAATACTAATAAATATTAGCATAACCAAAGATTCATTTAAATTAGTGAACTTTTTTATATAGTATCCTAGTTCGTATCGTAGAGCAGCTTAAAATTTCAGATATTATAAATCACTTTAAAACAGAAAGAACATAAAGCTTAAAAAAGGATAGAAAGTTAAAAAGGTACTTAAGTTTATGATTTGTGACACGTATTTAAAACGATCTGATTGATTTCTAGCGTATTTTGCCCCTAATTTTTTGATTAATTTATAATTTTAATGGGAGTAACGAAGTATTAAGGCAATAAAAGTGCTTACTCATCTGCTGAATTATAAATTATGTTGTACTCCGGCTCCTCGCAGGAGCTCATGCACTCGCAGGACTTGCGCTCCGTCATGATCTTGTCCCGGATTTTGGTGAGGCAGATCAGGCCGCGGTAGTCGCAGGCGGGCAGGGAATTCTGGCCGGGATTGGCCATGAAGTGGCTGGTGCAGTTGCAGTTCTCCAGCTGCAAAAGCACTGTGCTTTATAAACATAAATGATAAGCATGTTGAAAAGTGTGTTCCATGCATAGGTAATATAGTTAGTAAGTAGTTACCACTCCACTACGCATCCGGAGTAGCTGTAGAACTCGTAGATGCCCTGCCGTTCGAGGACATGCTCGTGGCCGTAGCGACATCGCCGCTGCTCCAGACTCAGATCCTGCACACTCTCGTCGTTGTGCACCTCGATGACATTGAGGATCAGCTCCTTGTAGTGGCCCAGTAGCACCGTCTCCCGGATCATGCCCTCCGAGAACTGGTAGGGCACATCGATGGGCGCATGCACATACAACTGGATGTCGGCGGCGGCATTGAAATTGAGATGTCCCGGCCCCGTCTCCCGGTTATTGGTGAACTGCACATGGGACACCTTGCGCGCCTGGTGCGAGTTGAAGGAGTAACACAATCCGTATTCCGTGGGCAGGGGCAGGAACCGATCGCAACAGTCGAAAAGCTCGTTCAGGTAGCTGCAGTTCACCAGCAGCTGATGGCAGTTGGTACGGAACTTCAGGAGTAAGAGGATTCATTAATACCCATGAACCTGATACAAATAGGTCTGTATGATAACCAACCAAGTCCACGAGCACAGTAAAGTTGGCCGGACATCGAAGCTTGGGGCAATCCTCGCAGCTGCTGCAGACACCCCGATAGAATACGATTTCGGAGATGAAGTCATCGACATGCATATCGTGTTCCACGCCAAAATGTGAGTCACTCAGGTCCCAAATTCTTTCGGCATTGTAAATCTCGCACACAGTAATGGCCGGAAAAGTGGAGTTCCAGTTCAAGCTAAGAGTATCTCTCAAGTATTCAAGTATCTCTCAAATGATGTTCTACCGGAAACTTACTAAATCGTGTCCAAATTAAAGGAGACCGACGAAGACAAGTAGCTGTTCAGCAGGGACACGGAAACGCTTCCAAAGAAGGGCAGGGTATGGTAAAAGGTTACCAAGTAAAGAATCCTGAATTAAAGTAAGCTTTTAGGCTGATTCATCCCGTTTATAATAATAACTTACATCTTTAGTAAACACCCCTGAATGCGGCTGCAGTGCACGGGCATTGTGAACTATCCGGCGTAAAAAAAGGAACTGCCTAGCCAAATCTTTACTTTTGTATCCTTTTTAGGCAGTTGGCATTCATTTTAACAATGGGCATATGATATCAATCTGTCTATTGTCTCCCGCTTATAGGAACTACGAACTACCCTGTTTTATTGGTTTCGATTTAGTTCAATGTTAAAGCCGACATGAAACAGACCAGCCGGATAGCTATTCAAATGGGCATCATAAAACACATAAATCACATTGGTCTTCTGAAGTGCTTAGGTCAGTTATTGTTATTATTTGTCTGAATAATCAATGCAGCTAACCGCAAATTAAAGCATGCCAACGACATTACCTCTACGGATAACGATGACTCAGTGCTTGGGTACAAATCTCGATCAGAAGTCGCAGCCAGAAGCAATATTGAAAAGAGTTTTGTTATGGAAGAGCTACTGGGATATCACGTTTCTACTAAGTGATCACTCTCCCGGCAAAAAAATATGGGAATTAAAACTAAAACGAAATCAATAGTGACTAATTTAATTGGCAACTACGTGTAAAACTTCATCCATTACACTTATGACATGACTCGGTTGTGAAAAGCTGGGACAGATAAATTAAAGTTCTTCTGAATCCTCTGCCTTAAAGTAAGCATAAGGTTTAACAATTCCAATTTCAGTAAGACTTTAGTTTGGACATTTACGACCCTATTAAGTATTAGACGAGTTTATTTGGCCATATGTAACTTGGCTTGCCAAAGTTAACTCTTTCTTGCAGCAATTATAAATCAATAGTTCATACCCGATTGGATTTTTTTTTAATATATTGCATATATATTCACATAACTAATGAGAACAAAAATATCCCACACGAATGTCAATGCACTGTGACTCAAAATTATGTATCCCCAATTCTGTTTCCAAGTCTGATACAGTTTATTATGCTAAGAAATTCCAGTAATTCATAAAAATGCATTTAAAACATCCAATCTTCTTTAAATAATTTAAACTTGATTTTAATGCATCTATTTTTGTGGCGCCCCTATAAAAAAAACAAGTTCCAACCAGAAAATCTCTATCAACGAAAAAATGCTTGAACCAGTTGCGTTTCGAGTATAAGCTATCAGCATTGAGAACTTGAACAAATTTAATTTTTTTAACCCGACAAGAAGAACACGGAAATTTTTGTTACTTTTCATATAATTCTTTAGTTTTATTTGATTGCAATGCTTATTAAATAAATAAATGGCAATGCATACATTTTAAGCAGCTATGACGGAGGATTCGCTACAGGACGTTTTGCGTGATCCAGGGCAACATGGAGATGACGCTAGTGAAGATTTCCATCTGCTTCTTGGTTTTGCCGCACAGATCTCCTCCTGTGGAGGTCACACCGTACTGGACATAGCGATAGGTATCCGGACCCGTGAATTTGTGCACATAGAATATCGGTCCGCCGGAGTCGCCCTTGCAGCTGTGCTTGATGTCAGATCCCTCGGCGCAAATGTGGTTGTCATTCAGTGTATTGTTTTTCCCCCTAAAAGCTGGCAATCCATTTCGGTATCTAAATTAAGCTCTCCCAAACGCACTGCAGTCCTGTTACCCATAATTAAGTCATAAATTCCAATTTAAATTTCCCATAAACTAAAGAACCTAAGAATGAACTTACACATCAGCACGATTTTCGATGCAGAGGGCGGCAGTGAGGATGTGCCATTTACTGATGAGGATGCCGCCGCACAGAACCTTTACCTTTCCATTTGGATAATTGTCGTACTTGAGCAACGCCATCCAGGGAAACTCGCCTGGTCTGGCTTTTTGACCTCCGCTGAGCCTGGTAGTGATTTTGTTACCTCAATTTTTGACTGATTGCAGGAATTTAAGGCCCCACACGTCGTATTGGTTGATATTTCTGTTTGCCGATCCATTTTTCTGAATTGGGCAGCAAATAAGCTGAAAATAATTTTTTTTTAATTTTATAAACTTAAAAATGCTAGAAGTCATTAATTGTATGTAAAGCTCACATTAGAGGAGCCTGTGCACTGCATATTTTTGAGGCCACTGGTAATATCTTCAGGTCTTGGAAAACTTTTTTTTAAGAGTTTGCACAAATGGACACTCCAGGTATTCGAGGCACAATCCTTCTAGGTGATTCGAAGTACGACAGCTCCTCTCTATAAGTTAATACAAGGCTTTAAACCCTTAACTAAAGCGATTTAACAACATGTTAGCTTACGGCTGAGAACCAGTCCTGGTAAAGCGCACAGTATTAGACCGGTAGCTAAAATCACTCTATATTTCATCCCGGGATGTTTGATTTCCATCGAATTGATTGAGATGTCAATAGAAAAGAGTTTGAATCAGTGGCTTTATTCTTATGTTCTGTGATGTACGCATACAATCGGATGAGCTGACTCAATGCAATATGCCCAAATACACTGGTGATTATATTAATAGGTACACTTTTTATCCGTTTTAAAAGTTTCTTTAGGTTTCTTGTTGTGAGGAAAATAACTTAAAAGCTCGTCGATTTTTGTTAATAAATTCATTTAATATCTTTTTAAATACATTATAATACATAATGAAATGGTACAATGTAAAATGTAGTAAAATGAAAATATATTTAGTAAAACCGATAAACTCCAGCCTAAAAAAGCTCAATAATAAAGTCAATCGATCTGTATGCACTTACAACAAACCAACTTAATGGGGAGAACTGAAATAAATGTTTGATATTTTTTAAGCCACTGCTTTAAAGTATACTATTATTCAAAAAGCCCGCCAAAATAATTAAATTCCGTTTGATCGATGCTGCTTATATTTTGTATTAAATAAACTTACAAGCTAGGGAATCCTCTAGAGTATCTACGACAAGGGATCTTACGACTACGGATATAAATAAGGTAATGTATTCTAAAGCAAGTGTGTCAGTGGGCGTAGGACTATTGAAGGTTTTGCGTGATCCAGGGCAACATATCGATGACGCTCGCAAAGACTCCGGGCTGATTCTGGTTCTGACCACAGCGGTTGCCGCCGAAGGAGATCACCGCGTACTGGACCACGCGGTAGGTGTTCTTGAACCGGTGCTTGAAGAAGACGGGGCCACCGGAATCTCCCTGGCAGGTGTGCTTGATCCCGTTTCCCGTGGCGCAAATGTGATTGTCACTCACCTCATCCTGGTTGTAGAACTGCCGGCACTCGTCCAGACTCTTGCGGGTGACCAAAGCCTGCTGGAGCTTGGTGGCAGTGGTCCCCCTGTCGGTACCGCCCCATCCGGCGATGAAGAAGCTCTGGTCGTAGGCCAGCTCTTGGGACTGCTGATCGATCGGCAGGCAGACGGGCTTGATATGCGACTTTTCCTTGACCACACGGTCTAGCTTGATGATGGCCACGTCATGGCTGATCTGGCCATGTACGTAGCTGGGATGAACGCTAATTTTCTCAATGCCAAACTCCTCGTAGGGCGGTATGCAGACGCGAGTGGTGCCGCCCAGGATTTGACAGTCCTGCTCCGACTCCAGGTCGTGTTCGCCCAGACGGACTGCAATTCTGAAACGCAAAGAAAATGGTACACAAATTAGACATCATAAGGTTTACCATCCTCATAACTTTTCTCATAGAAATTGTGTAGCTATGGATTTAGGTGTAATGGTACAAGGACTTACACTTCCGGCTGCTCGATGATGCAGTGGGCGGCGGTGAGGATGTGGCGCTCGCTGATGAGACTGCCGCCGCAGAGGAAGGGCCGCGGACCGCTGACCTTGTACTTGAGCAGTGCCACCCATGGAAAATCGCCGAGCTTGGCCGTCGTCCCCCCGCTGACCTTGGGATTGCCCTTGTTGCCGCAGTTGGTCACCGAGTTCAGCAGTTGCAATCCCTGCCGATCGTAGCGGTTAAGATTTCCCCCATCGGATCGCACAACCTTTCTCTGGGACTGCTGACTGGATGACGACTGCTGTGTGGCCTCATTGGGGCAACAAAGATGGAACTCCTGCAAATTAAATGGGATTTTTTTTAAAAATTATAGCTCAGCTTAAGAGAAAATAATTGAAAAGCAATTTAAGTATGGGAAGGTAAGTAAAAAAACAAAAAAATACATTTCCAAGGCAGTTAAACATTAATGTTTATTTTTAATAAGCATATCAAATAAAAGGGGTGTTTTTTAAATCGTATAAAGAGTATGTCTTCAAAAGTATATTAGAGACTTACATTTGTGTTGCCTTTGCACTGCTTCTGAGTGATTTGGTTATAAATCTTCCGTGGTATGTTATGGCCGTAGATGTCGATGATCCTCTGCACGTACGGACACTCCTGGTAGCGAATGCACTGACCTGATGCTCCGTCCTCAGTGACGCAGCTGCTCTCTGTAGGTCAATAAAGTGTTAGAAACCTTTTTCAAGTTAAATCCTTTGCAAAACGTACGGCTAAAAACAAGCAGTGGCCAGATGCACAAAACCAGCCCAAGGCTTAGAATCGTCGTTATTCCCATCCTGACTGATTGCTATGATCACTGATCCCTGTGGGAGGTGTTTTTTTTAGCTATTGTTCGAAACCTGATGTTGCTTCTACGATTGAAGATCGCGTTCCCGATCACGAATTAGTATTGCAACTTGCGCGCTGAACCGATCAACTTGGAATGAGCCGCCGATCGTCGTGTGCCGCACTTTTGTAGCTCGATTCGCGTGCTCGGAAAAGCGCCAGTCCACTCCCGATACCCGTAATGATCAATAGCTGAGCGCAACCCCAGATCAGTAATACAGGTTTTGATGCACTTCCACTTCCACAAGAGCACGTGAGCGGGGCTGGGAGCAGGAGATAGTCTCAAATATTAGCCACCATGTTGGGCAGTTCGTAGTCCTATACTATATGGTGATATTAAATGGAGGGGCGGGTTGTTTACCCACTTAATTACTTTATAAGTTCTAGAAGTTGGCTTTATTAAAGATTATGGCAAAGCTTTTTTCAACGCACTATGATATAAATTTATCTACCTGCCATCATATTGATTTCAAGAATATTTGTTCAGATCTTAGATCTTTGTATTTCTATTTCCAAAAACTGATTAGTTCATCAGTTTTTATAAACCACATTTTATGTATGGCACATTTGCAAAAATAAAAAAATAAATAATATAAAATAGCAAGTTATGTATATCTATGGCGAACCGGTCGAGCGAAAAACGGTAGTGGGCTCGAAGCATGGAGCGTGGGAATAGCGATTAAATTCCAGGAAACCCCCTAGCAAACTGCTTGATCTCTCATTCTCAGCTGGGGCCTGGGGCCTCCATTTGTCCACATCTCTGCCCCTCGAGATCGCCTATTGCGAGTGCCGGTCAAGTCGCGGGGACTGGCACGCGTCAATGGGGCTCAAACGGGTGGGTTAAAGCACCTTTTAGAAGCGGTACTTTTTTCCTCAATTAGTATGCTCACTAATTCCCCATGCGCCTGGCTACACCCATGGTACTGGTCGTTGTCGCCGACTAACTGGCTGCTGGATCGAAACCCGTTCTTTGGATATGAATATGATGTGTAGCATGGAATTTCCAGAACAGAAATCCCCATCATCACGGATAAAGTGCGTGCAAAAAACCCCGAATTTTGTGGTTTTTATTCAAAATTCTGCCAAGTATAGAACGACAATTAATTAAGATAGGTTGGCCTTGTAAACGTTCTAACTCTTTCTCTTTCAGTAATAAAACCTCAATATACATGATCTTATGTGGAACCACAATTCAATTGAACTCACTTATAAGCGGCATTATCTCGATCGATTAATATCGCAATTGGAAGTTAATTTCTTTAAAGCGATTTGCTCCCTAGGCAACATACAATATTCTTAATTCCACGAGATTACTAAAGAGTTTACTCATACTTTGCATTACACAACAACGTTGATTGTCGATTTTCATAAAAATGCGAAATTATTAGCCGACCAAGCTTAGTTAATATTGAAACGAAAGCCATTGACTAATAATAAGATGTATCTATGAATCATGGTCGAGAAATTAAAATTGTGGGAAGATAATAGAGAAACTAGATAGATGCATCAACTAAACAAATCATAGTTTAATTATAGAGACATAACTACTCTTTGAGACTATTTTTCAATGGCTAAATAATACTATATGTTTAAGTTGAAATAAATACATTTTAAACAATTTTACCATTACGGTGTTGTTTTATTCACAACGAACGCCCAATAAAATAGCAGAATGTAAATGAGTTTACAAATATGTGTATAATATATATTTGGGTTTGACTAATCGCTAAGATACACTCTAGAAACTGTTGACAAACGGTGACCCTCCTCACAGGCCATTGCTGGCCATGGTGTCCGTGATCCACTGGACGTACTCGCCGACATTGGTGTATAGACCCGGTAGGCTGATCTGTCCGCAGGAAACAACGCCCTGGCTCACGATTCCAAACTCCACCATTTTCTGGGCGAACTCACCCAAATAGCGGGCTGGAGCTTGGAGTGGTCCGCCGGAGTCACCCTTGCAGGAGTCCTGAAGGTCGCCACCGCCCACACACAGCTGGCTGGAGGGCACTGCCCTCCGATACGCCTGGGAGCAGGAGGATCGCGGCTGCAGGGGCACATTCGCCTGGAGCAGCACATCCGACGAGGAGCCATTCTCCGTGGTGCCCCAGCCAGTCACGAAGAAGGTATTAATCTGCTCCGCCTGCTGCTTCAGCTCATCCGTGATGGGCAGGCAAATGGGTTTGATGTGTTCTGGGGGAGATATATAACATTAATAAGAAGTGAGTAACGTGTCTCAAACTTGGACTTACTCTGAAAGGGAACGCTTCTGTTCAGGCGCAGCAGTGCTATGTCGTTCATGATGTGACGGGAATCGTACTGCTCATGGATCAGATGCTTCTCAATGCCCACATCCACAACTGGCGGGGCACACTTCTTCTTGCGTCCCTGCTGCCGGCAGTCCTCGTCTGTGGAGATGCGATGCTCACCCAGGCGGATCTCGTAGCTAAGGGATGGGCGAATAAAAAGATTATCAGCTTGGTGGAATAAAAGGTTATGATAATGATAAAGTATATGGATCTACACCAGTAGTCACTTCGTTGACATAAAGAAATTTAAAGGAGTTAAAATCATTAAACTTAGGTAAAAAATAAATTTTTAGAGATATAATTATTTAATTTTAACGGAAAGGAAAAAAATATTAGTCCTTCATTTATGCGTGAGCTTTAAACGGCATGTTGCAGATATGCATCATGGGCACTCAAAGGGTTAACTAATGCATACAACATAATGTTTTCAGTTTAAAAGGATTTTGAATCAAATAAATATGGTAAAAATTAATTTTCAGTGAAATAACTATTTAATTGAAAGGAAGAAAATAAGTAAGATTTACAAAAAAATGAAGTGACATTAGTATTTCATTAAATTAAATTTACATTTAAATTTCTTTTGTTCTTTTGTTCATTAGATTAAACTTCCTCAATTGTTTTACGGATAATCACTACATTACCTACAGCTTTATACTTACAGATCATTTTGGAGTCCGTGGACACAGTGGGCAGCAGTCAGGATATAGCCTGTAAATAAATATACATTTTAAAAGAGTTCACTTCAGTATATTTTATGACTCCGACTGGAGAACACCTACGCTCAGAGATGAGGGCTCCGCCGCAAAGGAAACGCGACTCGCCAAACTGCTGGTAACGGAGCAGGGCCATCCAGGGTCTGGAGGAGAGCTTCACCTCGTATCCATTGGCCACCCGCTGGCTGAGGAAGTTGCCGCAGTCGAAGTTCTCGTCCTTAAAAAGGGTCATTACCTTGGAATTGTGCTGGATCTGGGCGGCAGCACAGCAAAAATGCCGCTAAAAGAGGAGTTACTATTAAAATCAGTTTAACTTTCTTAGTCTTTTATTAAAAAAAATACAATACTTTCCATTAAATTTAGTTTTAGTTTCTTACCGAAATAATATATAACTAAAATACAGCATAGTAAAAGTTTTGATTTTCCTAACTCGCTTCAAATGTAATAATTTGATTGCAATAATAAATAAGCAATAAGTATAAATAAGCAACTTTCTATCTTTTATATTAAATAATAGATTTTCTTTGTTAACAAGTTGAGATTTTACAACAGTTCAATAAAACTTAGTGATATTTATAGCTATATCAGTAAGTTCTATTGAACTGCTGTAAAATCTCATTAGTAAACAAAGAAAATCTATTATTTGCAACCTTTCTATTCCTAAGTTAAACTGTGAGTATAAACATGGCAAATAGAATACAAAGGCAAATATTTATGTTTAAAAAAGGGGGTTTCTTTTTCTTTAACTCAGTTCGTTTTGGGCCAAGTAAAATATTGATTGAATTAATGTTGCTATTGGACCCTTAACTCTGTCATGCAATGTTGTTTTTTAAAGACAATTTCTTCAACTCACCACTCCATTGAACTCGCCGCAGGAGGCCTTCTGCAGATAGCTGGCGTAGTCGGCTGGCACCTTCTGTCCGGACTTCTGGGCCTCCGTGAGCCGCTCCTCGATGTTCCGGCAGGAGGAGAAGGGCATGCACCGACCCTGTTCGCCACCCGGACTCGTGCAGTCGTCGGCGTAGGCTGACCCATGTAATGTACACCAATATTAGCATTGCACTGACGCGGAGTCAGATTCGAATTCGGACTCGGATTCGGAGAATTCCTCTAACCTGCTCGGGCAGATTGCACGCCCATCGACGCCACGAGGGCAATGCCATATAGGAGGGCGAGGGCGGGGCAGCTGCCTATCATCTCGCTGAGCTCGCTGAGATAGCTGATCTGGACAGTGGTGCGATCGGAACCTGTAGTGCGACGAATGTGGTATTCTGGGCAAACAGACGCTCCAAGCTCGACTGGAAGACGGCGAGCTGAGAAGTTTCATTTTATACCCCCCGTGGATGAGAGAGTTGAATCACGTTTAAGCCGGGGCCTAGATCTCTCCGGTTTTTAGCTTTTTGGGGATGCCACAATTCCTCTCCCCGCCATTCGGAATATATGGTATATGATGACTTCAGGAAATATTGAAACAGTAAAACAGATTTGTCTACACTTCTCAGGAGAATAAAAAAAACAAGTTAATTAAAAGCCATCGGAGAGCTCATCTCTCACTCTTTTTCTCAGAAATACTTGATTCGCTCTCTCTCCGGAAAAAAAAGCTCAGCGAACAAAGAGAATTGAAGATCTCTAGCAAATACTTGTTCTAAAGGATCCCATTAAGCAGTGGCTAAAGTATTTAACTTGTAATTTTCGTTTATTGTTTATCGCACATCATCATCTAGTCAGTGGTACAATGGCTGAATCGGTCCGATCGATCATGGGGTTTAGGGTTTCTAGTTATTGATACATTAGCTTGACCTTGGTAACAATAAATTATAGCAAAGCTGCTTAATTGCGTTTATAAATATCAGACATGGCTCAACAACAAACAAAATCGTCACTCGAATATATCTTCAGATATAAGGGATTAAACGAAAGAAATCATAATGAATTAACTTAGATAGTTGGAGGTTAACGGCAGCGAATTAAGTTGTTTTACATGTGGAATCGGTTGGGTGGTTGAATGCTTGGTTGCGTTGCTCTCACCAGTTCTCGAAGCAGTTAGCCCTGCTGTCTAGCCAATTGTTCTAGGCGGTCGGTTGGTTGGGGGGTTCAATAATTTACATATGTTCTTCTCTCTCTGTATGTCAACGAAAGGAACATATAGCAATAGATAAATAAATTAATTGTCGAATTTTGGGTTGGTGATAAAGCGTGAATGTTGTAGGTAGAGCTCGCTTGATGCCGCCGTCAGAGTTAGTAGTAGTAGACAGAGCATATCAATTCAGATCAGATCAAGTAGAAAGCTGGGATGCACAGAGAATGCAGGAGATTTGTGGCAAGCGGCGAGGGAATGGAACTGCAAAGCCAATTGGGTAGTTAGATACAGCAAACCATAAACATAGCATCGAATAAATAGATAGGATAGTGATAGGATAGAATAGAATACTGCGTAATTGCTTTTTCAGAGGCGTAGTCATCGTCACAGTCGTCATTGTCGTCATTTGGTATCGGTTTTTGGTATCACAAAATTAATAACATCATAATTTTTACAAATATAAAAACACGTCATACATACATAATACTATGAACAATTTGAAAATACACTTAAGAACTAATCCGTTGGCTTCGTCGCCCACTGCGCACAGCTTCTAACTCTCCCGCATTCATGACAAATGGTCTAGTGTTTTTAACAATATTTTGCAATAGTTTTTTAGGTCAGCAATGTCAGGAGTAGCTGCAGCTGGAGAATCGAATCGAATCTCAGGGTTTGACTGACGGAGCCAACGAATCGATCAACAAACAATTAAATAGAGTGAGCACTTGAAATTTAACTAGTCTAGAGTAGGCTTGTTAGTAGTCATTTGGTTGGTTGGTTGGTTGGTTGCTTGGTGCTGATGGTGTACGCTTGGAAGTAGTAGAGTGTGTGTTAGATGCAAAACAGAACGGTGCCATCAACCAGTTGAACGCGTTAATGCTTTTTATTTGATGGCGGCAATCAGCGGGCTTTCTTCGCCTAGAATAAATAAAAAAAATTAATTTTCACTTTGTTTTCCATAGAGTTTAGTGGGCACTAAATCACGAGTCTTAATGTAGGGCATCCGCGGCCAGACCCAGGTTGCTGGCATGGAGCTCTCGTAGTTGAAGTTGTACAGCTGATTCTCCAGCCACTTGCGCTTGTCCTGCGGCTCCGGATAGGTAGATGCCAAGCCTAAAGAAGGTTAATCATATTAATAGAGTCCTTTCAAACAAGGGGTAATCCACTTCAGAAAATGGGATATCTGATAAATATTTGTCTTCTTTGTCAGAAGAACCAAAATCAAGTACGCAACAATTTTGAATCTTTGTAGTTTAAAGTTCATCAAACATTTCGAGGATCAGCTTCTATCAAACAGTTGCATTTACCTCTGTCGTAGGCACATTTGGTCACGCCAACGGCAATGTTCATAGACACCTCCCGAATGCTCGATAGCGGAGGATACAGCGATCCGCGCTCAATGTCGCTGGGCTCCACGAAGTTGGCCAACTCCTGGGCGGCGATGAGGAACATTTCGTCGGGTATGTGGTGGGTGCCAGTGCAGATCACGCCCAAGCCCACGCCCGGGAAGATGTAGGCGTTGTTGCCCTGGCCCGGATAGAAGGTCTTGTCGCCGACCTGGACCGGTGGGAACGGAGAGCCCGACGAGAAGATCACTCGAGCCTGTCGATAGAGAAAGCTCGTTAATAGATGTATTTAACATGATAGGACTGTAGTTTCTCACATCCGTGTGCTTGTACGCATCCTCGGCGGTGCACTCCGCCTTGCTGGTGGGATTGGACAGGGCGAACACCACGGGCCTCTCGTTGTTATCCGCCATAGTGCGCAGGATCTCAGGGGTGAAGATGCCAGCAGCAGCCGAAGCACCAATCAACACCTGTAAATTGGATTTAGATTTGTAGTATAACTAGATAAAGCTTTCTTAGAAAAACTTATAAGCAGGTAATTTAACCTAAACGATTTTAAGAACTTAAATTTACGGATCTTCACTTTATTACAAAAGTAATTAAATAACTAACAACTCATTTCATTTTTACAGCTCTTTTCAGAAAAAGCTTTGCTTAAGTCATCAATCTGTTTTTATAGTTAACGGTTATTATCGTTGAAATTAATATTTTTTGAATTAAATACTAAATTTAAGTGAATGGTCGGGGAAACTCTGTTAAACCACTTACACTGGGCTTGATGGTGGCGACAATCTCGGCGAGATCTGTCATGGGATTGATGTCCTTGGCATAGTTGATTTTGTGGCCATCCAGGCTGCCCACCTTGCGACTCTTGGTCAGCAGGCCGTCGATGTCCACCATGTAGATCCTGTTGTAGGCCTCCTCGATGGGCACGCCGTCCTGCACCATGGCCTTGACCGTCAGGTCGGCGATGCCGATGGCCGCCTCACCCGCTCCGGCGAACAGGAATGTGTAATCCTTGAAGGACTTGCCCGTGATGCGCTTGGAGGCATAGAGGCCGGCAACGGCCACGGAGGCTGTGCCCTGGATGTCGTCGTTGAAGGTGCAGTACGTGTTGCGGTACTTGTCCAGGAACCTAAATGCATTGTGGTTGCCAAAGTCCTCGAACTGGATCAGGGTGTTCTGGCCATAACGCTGCACCACCGCCTCCATGAACTCGTCGATGAAGTCGTCGTACTCCCTTCCCACGACTCGCTTTTGGCGCAGACCCACGTACAGAGGATCCTCCAGCAGATCGATGTTGTTGGTGCCCACATCCACCAGGATGGGCAGGCACTGGTGCGGTTTGATTCCGGCCAGAGCCGTGTACAAGGCCAGCTTGCCCACGGGAATGCCCATGCCGCAGGCTCCCAAATCGCCCAGTCCCAGGATGCGTTCGCCATCCGTCACGCAGATCGCACGGACATTCGGCTCCGGCCAGTTCTTCATCACATCGAAGATGTGACCGCGATCATTGTAGGTAATGAAGAGACCATGGGGACGCCTGTAGATCAGGCCGAAACGCTGGCACGCCAAACCCACTGTGGGCGTGTACACAATAGGCATTAGATCCTCAATGTTCTCCGAGAGGAAGCGGAAGAACAGGCGCTCATTACGATCGTACAGATCGCTCAGGTAGAGGTACTTGTTAAGCGGCTCCGTGTAGCGGTTAACGGCGATCTTGCACAGCTGCAGCTGCTCCTCCTGCGTCTTGAACCGCGCCGGCTGCAGTCCATGAATGCCCAGCGTCTGGCGCTCCTCGAGGGTGAAGGCCAGGCCCTGCAAAGGCAAGAAAACATAATTAATACGGGCAATCTTTGAATACATTTTGTAATAAAAACCAGTTTATGCATAAAGACCTATTTAGTCTGCAAAAGAAAACACCTAAATATTTAAATATTTATTCTTGTTTGTTTGTAAATAATATGAAATCGTTTGTTTAAGCATAACAGTTTCAAGCGTTTGGTATTTGCTTCTGCAAGAAAAAGCGCAGTTCCGAATTCAAGAAATGAAATATACATACATATATGTATAGTATTTTCAGCAAAATTAATATAATTTTACTATCTAGACAGCAAATTGAAATGTTAGAAAATACGGCTTTGAAGTATTTGATAAATGAAATCAAAAATTAATCGTAAAATCATACTAATAATTCTTTTTGTTTATACAAAACTTAAATCGAATTTCAAGTATGTGCAAAATTAGTATTATCTTGAAAAGATAAACAGCATTTTTGCTGATAAAAGTTATTCACATTTGGAGAGTTCTCCCATAATATGATAAATATTCAAGTTCTTACGATAAACAAATTTATTATTGATCGTTTACCACTTTATCGAGGCTAGTGAACTCCCAAAGTTTTCATTCTTACAGTGAAATTTTATCAGTATTACGTTTTTTTTGACTAGAATAGCGTGGATTTTCTTACCTTGTTGAGTCGCGGATCACGGATGTGATCTATGCCGCGCACCTGGGAGGGGCAGACGATGTCGCCCACCACCTCGTGATAATGTCGAGCGGCCGGCACAGTTGCTGCTGCCACCGTAGTGATTCCTGTTGCTGAAGTCCCGCAGCGGCACAATTTGCCCACAGTTCCGCACAAGCTGCGAATTGTAAAAGTGCATTACGTGTGTCACTTATCAGCACAGCAATTGGAGACCCCCCCCTGGCCACTTTTGACTGGCCCACTGACATTCTTGACATTGTCATGGGTGGTGTTCCGCCCCCGCACACACACACATCCACACACAGGGAATGAAAACAGCCATGTTCAAGGTCGACGTCAGCTGCTCTTTGTTTATCATCGCCGCTGGGCACGCAAAAATATAAAATGAAAAG